TATCTAACTGCGCCTTCATTATTGGTGACGTAGTAATTCTTTATCTCAAAATTCATAGTGACGCAATATTACTCACTAATTTTATAGAAAATTGGGTAAAGTTTATTTCATTGCTCGGTAAAAAGCGAAATCGTTTTTAGAAATTTCCATAATGTACAGATTGCATAGATTGGTTCAAATAAGAATATTATCTCTAATGGTTCCAAGTTCAAACGACAAAAATTATATATAACCTCTGATCACCTTGAGTAGTTCATTAATTTTCTAAATTTCCTCGAAACAATGATGGAAGAAATAGCAAATACGCAATTTGACATAATAACTACGGAAGATTATCATATTGTAGCTTCCAGCTGTAAGGGTACGCAATGGCACAAAAATATTAGAGAGGATGCTTATTGTTACAAAAAGCTTCAGAATTGTCTTGTCGCTGTCGTCTGTGATGGACATGGCTGTAAGTGTTTATTCTTTAAAAGCATAATTTAACCAGGACTTAATAGTAGTGATTGGATTTGTCTTTCAGTATTTTTATCAATTCGGATGTCAGATTTTTTCTAAAAATCTGTTCATTACCCGAAATCTCTTCGGCTTCATCCCATGAATCACTTAATTTTTCGGAAGTTTCTCTTGCATCATATAATGGTTTATAGCTATTATCATAAATTCTGGGATACCTGATAAAAAATTAGCAGAATGGTTTTTCGGTCGATTCAATAAATCCTCCGAATATAAATTAGACCTTTAGAGCAAATATAAAAAAGTTAGGTGTGATCAAGAATTTATCGACTGGTTTACAATAAGATTCCAATTTTATTAATATTTGTCGAAAATGCGTTACGGAAAATTTCAATACACCTAAATAGTTGAGAGTGCTTAAGAATCCTAATTATAGAAGATCTGTTAATATCCAAGTGTCAGCAATTTTTCGAGCTGATATACCTTCTGAATTTTTTTTCAAATATTTGCCAGCGAAGATGCTTTGAAAGTATACTGGTCTTAAATTATATATGTATATATATCAATTTATTGAATTTATTATGCCGAAATCACATTCAAATCGGCCGAAAAATCATCAGCTAATTTTTAACAATTGTCTCAGAATTTATGATAATAGCTATAATTCAATCAGCATAAACTTCTCATAGTTTGGCCACATTTCACTTCCGATTTTCCAAACATGAAAAGATCAAAATATAAATAAGTGAGTATCATTAGAAAAAAAAATGCCTGAAATTATATGAGAGTTACAGCTATTAGCATAAATCCTGTGATAACTAAAAGGTTTTTTTATGACCGAATCGATAAGTCCCAATTTTTCCAGAGTCAGTAACTTACTGATTATGACTCAAAATTTTCTGCAGAATTAGTGATAAATCCGATATATCATGTGGTCTAGAGAAATGTGTGAAATGACCTTATAAAGGGTTAAGTATATTACCCGGCAGGTACTGTGCAAACACTGACGGAAAATTTCGTATTATTACCACAGTTTTTATTTAAAACATGCGACAAATTCGAACTTATTTTAATAAAACCTGCGGCATAATATGAAGTTTTTCCAAGTCAGTGTTTACATAGTACCTGCCAGACAACAAGAAAGAATTCGACGGATTATTGTTTTTCTTATTAAAAATTTATCTCTTGCAAGATATAGCATTATGTGATTAATCACGCGAGAATGAAATCTCTATCTAGGATTTATAATAATAGTTGTAATAAAAGTTATTTATTACACAATTATTTGTTATAGCCTAATTAAAAGTAATCATTTATTTTTTTTAATATGCCGTTCGAATACTATCCAGTACAATCTGGATATTATATAGATACAATCCCGATATCCGAAGTCTAACCTGTTTGCTAAATGTATCCTCGGATTTCCTCGGATATCCGGATAATATACGGATATCTTGATGATTGCCTTGACGACTCCAACCACTACTTAATAAATGTCTAATACTAAATATTAAAACATATTACTATTCTAGGTACCGAAGAACATAATAAAAATGAAATTGTTGAGCTTGTGTTAAGTTCTTTAATTAGTTGTGATAGTAGTAATGAAACTTTACTAGAAAAAGAATTGCAAAAAGTCAATGATGAACCTGATAAAAATAAAATCAAAGAAATATTTAATAATGTGTTCAAAAGTCTCGATAATGATATATTAAAAAAGCAAGAAGGTTATGAATTTGAAGATTCTGTAGGTACAACTGCTACAATTGCATTAATCTTTAATAAAACTACATATGTGGTGAGTAGCATTTTTTGCTAATAAATAAATCTATAAAATTTGCTTATTTACGCATTAATTTTTAAAGGTACACCGAGGGGACTCTCCTACTTATGCCGGTTACAAAAATGAACAAATAAGAAGAATTACTGCAAACCATAATTTAGATAATGATGGTAAACAACTAAATTTAGGTTATAGACTAGAATGGAACACACATTAACTAATATAATCAATAATAGGTGAACTTGAAATGTTAACAAAAAAAGTGAAGAAACCTCATTTTTACTATCTAAAAGATAGATTTGATCGCTGTTATGGTAATCCAAGATATTGGCTTGACGATGGGGACCTTGGTGGGTTGAAAATTACCACTTTTTTTGGAAATACATATAATTTTACCAAGAAATTTCCCGATGATCTTCCTCAAGAAAGAGAAATGGCTAGGAGATATTCTAGTAAGTTCAATTATATGATTCTTAAAAACAAAAAAAAACAATAGATGTATTAATTGTATCAAATTTAAGCTCAATCAGGTCTTATTGAAATAAATAATCAAGACATTGATTTTATTCTTGTGACCAGTGATGGTAAGTGAAATATTATATAAAAACTTTTCTATACAAACAAAAATTAATTAAACTTGCTATTAAAAGGGTTCGAGGATGTGGAAATTTTTCTTAGAGATTCTGTTAAGAAATTTAAGGAAGATAATGAAGAAGAAACAAAAGCTGCATCTTTTTTAATGGGAAAAAATGGATTTTATGATGAAGAGACGGATGATGCAACTTTCGTATCTATCTTTTTCAAACAGAGCAAGGATGAAACTGTCAAAGATTTATACAAGAGAATTAATAACAAGAAATTTAAATATTGGGGTTCACTTGATAAAGAGGAAAAATTTGCTTACAGGAAAAGCATTTTTTCCAATATGACTAACAAAAAAAACTCAGGCATGTGAGTGACTATGGCTTTGAAAAAGACTTGTTACTCTGAGTTACCAATATTGACGTGCCTCTCGCATGATAAACCTAGCATATATTTCGTATGTCATATAACTCCACTCATCCAGGATAAAAATTGTTTAATACATCCATGGTTGTGTTACTATGAGGACGATATGTGTCAGAGATCGGAAATTTTGAGTCTAGCAGATTATTGGTTTTAGTAGCCTAATTATTTTTGTTAAAACAAAAACCGCATTTTCATTTTATATATCACTAATAACTAAAATTTTCTTCATTAAAAATTTATTTCGCTCAAGGATTATATTAACATCTCGCGCGTGAGCACATCTCTAGACACTAATAATAGTATTAGCTGATATCAATGAATATTTCTTCGTTTAGAAACCTTTTGAAATGTTTAAATTTAACGATCTTCTTTAATGCATTTATATTTAACAATTGTAAAACTTTTATGTCGCTTTTGTATAGCCAAAATTTATTAAAAAAAAAACAATTAGAAATAAATAACAATTACATGAATCATTGATTTTAAATGAAGCTGTAACCACTATAACTTTTTTTAAAAAAATGAAAGCCAAGTTAGTTATATAGATAAAGAAATGGATTAGTCAAAAATAATGAAATAAAATACAACAATAAAATTTTTATCAAGGTACCAAAATTTTTAATTAGGAAGAGTTTAATAAAAGTGAATCTGTCAAATAACCAAGACAATAAATTAGCCATATGGATCAAAGATATGAAAATTGGCAAAGAAATTATTTGACCTGATAGTCGAAGTTATTTATACGGAATTAATCAATACTAGGGATGACAAATTGAGAATTTTGAATATACTTAGCAGGCTGCGCAACATGCACCACATATTAATTGTCCTAAAATATTGGTGCAAACCTTAAAAATACTAGCACCCAACATATAAAAGCTCTTATATTTATAATTCCTATGATCTTATTTATAAAACATAAGATTTTATTACCTACATAAATATTATCTGTGGTCCAATCAGTGTCTAAAACTCGAGTGTGCGAGTTGCTCGGGTTGTTGAATTCTGACAATTTTTGATTGGATCTGCACATTCGAATTTTAGACATTAGGTTTCAAGAATTATGTCAGCTGGCTGAATTATAAATATCACACTGCGCCAGTGTTGGCACATGACCAGGTCATAACAGGTCATATTACTAAGTTCAATTAGTGAAGTCATATGACTGAGGTCATATGACATTACTAATTGAACTTAGTAATATGACCTGTTATGACCTGGTCATGTGCCAACACTGCACTGCGCAGTCTCTAAAATATTCTACGCAATGGCACATCCCTAGGGTGAGTGATACGGAAGTCATGGGATGCCACCCCGGCATGCCAATAGTGGCATGCCATATGGCGTATTCAATGCCCAGATAGATTATACGTAGTTTGCCACTTATATATAATCAGGAAAATTGGGCAAAGCTCTGAAATATTTCGAAGGTGGCTCTATAATATACCTACTGTTTCAAAAGTTCCAAAAAACGATCCCTATTTTTAAGTAATCTTATATATATAAATCGTACGATAACTCATTTTTGTTAGGTAAAAACGTAATATTTAAATATACGGCCTATATGAACAAAAAAAGTATAACTTTACAATGCATTAACATTTTATAAAAGCAATATTTTAAAAACCTTTAGCAATTTTTTTAAGTTTATTATGAACAAAGTTACCAGTCAGATTGTTAAAGTAGTTTTTTTATAAAAAGTTATAATACTTTAAAGATTAAACATACTATATAGGAAAACAGATGCTGTTAGATGTCCGGAGCGGATAAGTTACACGAGTATGCAAGAATATGCAGGTAGGTTGTCAGATGATCGGAATCCATGACATTTTTTGGTATTTACTTATCTATTGTAAGTCCTACGCTACGCTCCGGACAATTAATCTTTAAAATGCATCAACTTTTTATATTTGGCAAATTTATAGAATTAATATTGTGTTATAAAGTTACCAATCAGTTTTTTGAAAAACCTCTTGTATAAAAAGTTATAATGCTTCAAAAAAAATTAAAGCATGTATGGTATAAACTTTTAGCACCATAAAAATCCGAAATTATGAACTTCATTCTGGCCAATGCTTGATTTAATTAGTTGAAACGCCACCCTACCGTGACAATTACATACGTATTAACATGCTTAAATCTTTTTTGATGCGAGGTTTCTAGTTGGATTATTCATAATAAATATCTTTCTTATTATTGAATCTACGGCTAAAACTTAAAATCCGCAGAATTTTGCTAACTAAACTAACAAAATTTGTCATGGTTACATGATTGATTGGCGTATGTAATTCTTTAATTTTCACTTATTGAACTATTGAACTTGGTCATTATTAACTTACCTTCATTTAATGATAGGTTTAAAACACTATATAGTATATAATTAAAATCACAAATAACAAAGTTATCTGATGATTTCGAAAATAAGAGCCTGTAAATTTTTTGCCCCCGATTTCCTTTCGATTACCGATACATTAAAGATAGCTTCTATTTGTACACTATAATAACTTTAAAATTTTGCAGATAAAACTATTGTGGGGTTTGTTTCATAACCTGGTATAAATCAACGTTAAGAAATCTTCATATTAAAATCTATATATTAAATCATTAAGTTGTATGTACTATAACGATATGAGGTGCAACTTAAATTGAAGAATCAAAGTTAAACTACTATGATGAAAATATAATGACAAATCAAACGATAATCTCTATTCTGAAATAATAAAAGTAATTAGTTGGGGAAGATTGAAGAATAAGTACCCCATGATATCTTCGTGATCATCACATCACATGATTAAATTACTCGGCCTAAATTAGAATTAGGGTTAGGGTTAGATGATAGTATAGTTTAGGCCGATTTGTTAGTGCGAGTAAACAAATGACGTCATTACATGATTCATGAGATGTGATGATCACTGGGGTACCTATTCTTCAAGTGTCTCCAGTCAAACTTCTCTATAGTCACACCTTTGGGATACAAAAAACTGTGAGTATAAAAAGGTGTGACTAATATAGAGGTTTATAACTATACTAATTTTGTAACTATAGAGGGGGTTGACTGTACTTAAACCTGGGCTTATATTGGGCAAAATATAAATCCTTGAACTACAGTTTCATCCATTAAGCTTTTGAAACTACAGCTTCAATGATCAGGACTTCGTTTTATTCTAAGCGTCTTGATAATTAAAGTTGCTACCTAATTAGGAATGATTAATAATATCTAGTCCAAGCTTCAAATCACTAAGACTTCTTGTCACAGGAAACATGTGACAATAGTTTGTGGTGCTGAAATCATAGACTCTGTTTGGGCTTATTGCGTATTTATGGTAATATTTATAAACCAAGAAGTAATATATACACATTCTTAAATTAACAATAAGCCTAGCAATATATGAGCTAATATTTTGGTTTAGTCTATTTTTCATGCCAATGGGAAAGAGTGTTCTGAAGATTTACACTTACGAGTTTGGATTCTCTGTTTGTTATGTAGCAATAATTAATCATAAATTTTTTAACTGCCTTTTAAATTATTGCAATAAATTAAGTAATTTCTGTTAATTCTTTTTACAATTAACACCTTTTATTGCTTTATTTTATGTCATTTATTTCAGCTTCATTTTATAATTACGAAATTTTGTAGACTGAATCATTAAATTTTAGATATCTTAAATTTTATTATTCCGTTATTAATAATACTACTGCAAATAACTCATAAATTTCATAAATAAAGCTAGGAGTGTTCGGAATGAGCCTATTATTCATTTAAAAAATGATACATTACTAGGTTTAAATTTAAAATACCGCTTTAACATAATTAATTTTATCGTGCTTTTCAAATTACTGTGATCAGCAATCACACGAAAATCTTAAAATTTTCTTAAATTCATCATTTTTTTAAAAATTATCACAATAAAAGTCACAATTCCAAAGATTTTTTGCCAAATTCCAATTCTTTAGTATAACATCCATTAGTGTTCTAGAACTTACTTTGTTAGCCAAGTGGTTATAAAAATTTTCTGTTTTTTAAAAAAAATTTTCCTTAGGTATTTTTAGATCGCTAGTGTTGAAAATTAAAATAAGATAGCTGTGAGATGCCGTCGTACTAAAAAGCTAGGAACGTAAACAACACTATTCTATGGATGTAGTGATATTAAAAATTTAACAAAGTGTATGGTTATATCGCAAATTAAGTGGGGTGTGTCCGCAAAATCCTGCATTTTATTTGATAATATATGTGGCAAAGTAGGGATGTGAATGCATATCAGGAATTTCACACGTAGTAGAATCACAGGATATATATAATACTTCTTCTGTATACAGGCAACTTCTACGAACGATTTAATCCACACCTGAATTCATATGAATTTAATATTTACTGTTTTTCTCAAGATCTAATTCACAATTAAGTTTTAAAATTCTTATATTCAAATGTTGTAACAAATGATAGTTAAAGCATGATTTTCAGATATAAATATTAGTGGCCTGATTCAAATTTTCATATCTATTCACAGAATATTTGGCATTTTTCATATTTTCTATATAGGATTTATTATCACTGATTGGAATTTGGAAACTGGTTTTAACATATGAAAAATATAGAACTCTATCACTGATTATAAAAGAAGGGTTACATTTCGTAAGTACGATGTTAGTGCCCATGACCTGATTGATACATAAGTATTTCTCCAATTATTTCAATACTGCAATAAGTGTAGTGAAAAGTTATTATGTTTACGTATCTTATTATTCGTATTGATTTTAATCAATGCAGATAATTTCTTATTCAATTTCTTTATGTTGATCAA